ATTCTGCTTGCTTAGTGAGGCACAGAGAGATTGTAGTTCGCTGCCTGGTTTTCGGAGGGATTTTTTGGGTTTTTTGAGTAATGAGTGCCGCTGTCTCTAAGGTAGCTTTACAAAATACAGGGAAATGCTTCAAATACTGGGGCAAAATCTACTCATCTGCTTTTTTTGCTGCTGATAAAAAATAATTGCACATTAAAATATTTACTCTCCCTAAGGGATCGGGGGTAGGATTCTGAAAGGCTGTACTAGCAGTAATGTTTAATTTACTGTCTGGTTTTTTTTTCCTCTCCCGAAAACCCCCCTGATTCCTCTCATGAAAAGTTTGTAATACAGCATATATCATAAAAAGATGCTGTCACAATAAAGCATTAAAAATTCCACTAAACTTTTTATATGAGTTAGGTGTATAATTTTAACTTTCCTCTTGGCATTTTTACTTTCTTCCTACCTTGCCTATCCTGACCTCTTTCTTATGCGTCTTTCAAATACAGCTCTTTAATGTAATTGTTCTTGAAAATGTCTTAGATGAAGAGTTTGGATTTGGCACATTAAATTAACTTGAAGAGGCATCTGTTAACTCATAGTTAAGGCTGAAAACTACTTCTACTTTAACACTCTGCTTTATGTGTTTCGCTTTTTCTGACAACTTATGCTTTGGGGCTGAAAATTTGCTTTGCCTGGTCTGTTCCTGAAAGCTGTCCAAGTTATAAAAGGAAGAAAACCCAATTACTATTTTTTTCTTTTAAATTTAGACATAGTTACAGCAAAAGCAACTAAAATTTTAAAATGTGAAACTTTACAGGGACATAGTTGTGTCTGTTTTCATAATTGAGAGAGAAAGCAGTTTTGATTGAATGCATTCAGAAAGGTCTGAGTGCCTCTGCAGCCAAAAGAAATCAGGGCTGAAAGATTCTTTTCCCATCCTAAACTGCAGAAAGTAGCGCTTACTCCAACATCCAATTGCTGCCTTGCTGCCCAGGTTTTAAAGTTCAATTCATCTGAGCCTCACCCAAACTCAGAGAACTAAATACTTCCTCATATGAGGAGGACAATACCTGGAAAGACCTAGCAGGTGTGGAACAGGCACCTCCCAAATACTCATGGCAGTGCAAACGCGACATATACAGATGTAACCATGAGTGCGTTATACTATTTTTCTGAACTATATGGTAGCAGCCTGACCAGGTATGAGACCAGCTGCTTACAGTTCATCCTCTCCGCAGCGGGTCACCTGGCTCAAAGGGAACCAAGGACATGCAGGTTTCCTGGCACCTCCCTTTTGGACCTTCTGTGTTGCCAGAGAGCACCCAGAGCCAGTGGTTAGCCTTTTTTTCAGTGAGGCATGTATGGTTGTAGTCTCCGACTTTGTCATTGGAAATAGGTCAGGCATAAGCTTATTCTGGGGTAACATTTATGATTTCTCTGCACCTCGTGTTCTGGAGCCACAGTTACAATGTGCTCTGTTGCTGGCACCATAGGAAAGCCAGAGATGATAAAAAAATCCACTCAGGCTTCATTGTATTGTCATTTTGTGATGGGGAAGTGAAAGTAATCAGCAAAAAGACAAGTTTTGTTGTGTCCAAAACCAAGAGGGTGATGTAAGAAAAATGCTTGGCTGACGGTTGTGGAGCCTGTTTGAGATTCTAAGAGCATCTTCTGGCAGAAATTTTGAAAACAGGATGTATTTGGCACTAGCAGAGTGTCAGGCACCATTGCTTAGTCTAGCTAGCTAAAAAGCCACAGTTCCTGAGCAGTGTTTTTGGCTGCACTTTTACAATATATATTTTGATACATGAAGTTAAATTGAAATAATAACTGAAAGTTCAGTACATTTTTAAGTTTTTTTTTTTTTATAACTGTGTAGTGTAATGACTCTTCTACATGGCTACAAAGTTTAAAATAATATAAACTCTAGGGTCATCTTTTTAAAATCTAAAGCACTTTTTTAAAAAAAAAAAAAAAAAAAGGGGCCTGATCCTGTCAAAATGCCTGAGTGGTATACTTGTTATTCTGTTGTGGTATTCTCAGCTGGTTTATTGCTTAGCAGAAAGCACTACTAATAATTTCCTTGTTTCAGTGAAGTGTTGGTAAGTAGTGAAAATCGTTTAAGGAGTTAAAAAAACCCTAGGCATTCTGGCTTGATGTGTATACCAAGTTTCAGGCTTGTTCAATTTGAAATGGTCAAGATATGAAACCATAAAAAATGTGAGTAAATACTCTGCATATCAAGGGTTGTTATGCAATTACATGCTTTCAGCATGGTTCTTACTGAGGGAAAACGGTTAGCAGAGAGATCTGCAAGACATGTTCAGTGAATAATTACAAACTTTCATAGCTTAGTTACATAAAAAAATAATCCACTCGCTGCTTTGCTACTACTAAAATACTAAAATGTGTGCATACTTTTTTCCCCCCATAGCAAAGCCACTGTGACTGTAGATTTGTTAGAAAGTTATCTCAAAGACTTGAAATCCCGTCTGCCCCCCAGCACCCCAGTTTTGGCCAATCTCCATATTATAAACAGCTGAACTGATTTAAATAAAGTTTTCAGTACCAAAAAAGAAAAGAAAAAAAAAAAAAAAGAGTTACATCTGGGCTGACAAAAACATGTGCCAAGTTCCAGCCCAGTGTGATTTGAGATGACCATGATATTAAACGCCCAGACCTAGGAACTGGAATGGAAATGAAGACAGGCTCTTCGCTGCACCGGCCCCGTCAGGATTTGGGATTGCAGTATAGTGGTTGCAAGGCTCCAGGTGGTTAAACCTTGACTTAGCAGATACATATTTTACTTATTTAGACCTTTTTGGGTTATTCTTCCAAGGATGTACAGGAAATTTTCATGGATAACTCCAGTTAGTGCTGGTGGCATTGATCACAGACTGAATCCTTTTTGTCTGTGGCTCAGACCCTCCCATGACTAGTTATGTCCATGGACCTTTTCTGGGCTGGTCTTAAGAGATTATTTAACTATGAGAAGTATGTGTTCACATTTGAAAAAGAGCAAAAGGTTCCATAACATATTTATTGAAAATGCTGGCTAGGGCAGTGCTTAGCAGAGCACTTGAGCACATGGCTGGGCTTTATGGAAGCTGTGGGCCATAGCTGTTGGGCAGATTTCGCGGGATTGGAGCTTAAGTGCCTGTTCCTTTGGAAGACTCTTCAGAAAAACAGCAATATTGGCCATTATTATTGATAGTGCAAACGGTGACTATGCAAAGCCAAACAGACTCATGCAGAAGTATCATGACTAATTCACATTTAGCACAAAAAAAAATGTAAATAATTTCTGTTGGCCAGTAACTTCTGTAAAACTTGGTATATGGGAAGTAGAGGCCTAGGTTTTTGTTGCCTTTTTTTTTCTTTTTTTTTTTTTTTTTTTTTTTTTTTTTTTTTTTTTGAGAAACTGTATTGGTTTAAGAGAAGAAGACTACAGGCATTGTAGGCTTTTAAAAACAGCCACTATTTGTTCTTGCAGATATAATCAAAATTTCTCAGGTGTATTTTGACAAGCAGCTTGATTCTGTAGTTAGCGGAATCTGGTAGTCAATAATATTTAATCCAATTTTGCCACAGTCCTGTTCCACCCCAGGAAAACCTTTCTAAAGCTGTGTGTCCCCACTATAAAAAAGCTGTTTCATAACCAAAAAGCTTAACAAAGTAACAGCATTTAAATTTTTCCAGAGGCGGTTTAAATCTTAACTTATTAGTGTATGTAATCTGTGTTGGAACACTTAGGTAGGGGAATAATTATTCTCGATCTCCTGTAAGGTCCTTAAATAATTGAGAAATAAGAGAAGGTAAGGAAAAGATAAGATGCAATGCTTAGAACAGCATGTAGGATGAATTTACCACTTTGTGGTAAATTTAGGGAAGGATGTTTAGCTGGGCTACTTTGAAATTTTAAACAGATAAATAATTTGTAAGTGCTAAATGAGCACAGGTATAGGGTTTTGATACGTATAGCTACGTCTAGGTATTTTGTAGGTTATTGTCAGCTGTAGTCATTGTGTTATTTCATTGCAACTAATGTCCAGCTTGAATCAGAACTTTATTTTTAAAAAAAAAAAAAGTAGAGAAAAAAATTAGTTACTTTTGTCAATGTTTTAACAATATACTAGCTCCATAGCATTCAATTAAGATTTCAGTGTTCTTACACATCCTGTCACCATTCAGGTGTGTACAAATGCAACATACAAACTATACCAGGCTCTATATATTTTAAAAGTCTTCCATGACTTTGTAGAGGGTATTTCCCAAACTCAAGGAACACAAACAGAAACGAAAGGGTGGAAAGACTGGCTCAGATTAGGACTCCACTTGGTTAATACACCACACCAAGAAGCCATAGGCCGGCAGACAAAAAGTAGAAATGGAAAGGAACAGTTCTGCAGTTGTATCTGAATCCTGGCCATATACAGTCATTTCCCCTTGGAAACTTCTCACCCTTCAAGTGGACCAAGTTGGGGTTAGTTTAGTGAAGCTATTATTGTACTCTTAAGGAAAATATTTCAGCAGCCAGGTGAAGCTGTGCAAGGATATGCAACCACAAAAAGAATTTGGAGCTTCAATTTACTTGTAGGTGAGTGTGCCTTCCCAGAGTGAGCTGTGTCTTGTATACACGACTAGTTAAATGTTTGCTGAAGGACATCAGCTACCATTTAGTTCTCACCTTAGCCAAATTGAGAAAAACGTAGTGTATTACTGCTTCTGATTTAAGAGACAAAGTAGGGGATGATGTAACAGGGTGAGAGAGAGATTATCTTGACGACAATCTCAATTTTATTGTATCACTTTAAAGTAGAACAACCTGCTGTACTAATGAAATTGTGTTCTTGGTTTAAAAGGGCAATTGTTAGCCTGACTTTGTGCTCACTAAAAACATTTCCCCAATCTTGTTAAATTATTGCACTCATTTCAGATTTTTATGGCCGTGCAGCTTACCAGCCCTCGTTTCTTTACGTTTCATTCGTTTTCCTTGTATTGATGATTAATGGAGGATGTCGAACGTTAGAGTGAGCAGGCATCAGCAAATGCAAGATCATAATTAGTTTAGCTGACGAGGGCCTCTGATAGCACTTGCATCTGGATGGAAAAATTACCCTATAGGGAACTGGCTGCTCACCAGGTCTTTTTAGTGATACATTGTGAAACACCCGATGAATCAAATGCCCTTTCAATGCCAAGAAAGTGTTCCAGTCTTGAAGCCAAAATTATGTCTGCAGAAAGCTTTCCATTTGAAATGTATCAGAGTACAATTATAACCATTGTATTTTTTTGGCATGAACACCAGTCTTCTACAGTATGGACTGAAGTTAAATAAATTGCTTAAATTTTATGAAACCCTGAAATTTTTACTTACAGTGTTAGTAATTTTTAATTTATAATAAAATTAGTTTTCACCCAAGCTGTTTTTTGTCTGTACACACCCATTCTTATCTTAGATGTTGAATGTTTCTTATTGATCTTTTTCCTTTGCAAAAAGGGAACAGAGTTGAAATTCAGTTTTTCTTTTCAGCAAAAGAATTCCATTTCCTGCTTATTAGTATTTGTGCCCAAAAACACAGCCTGACTTTTGTTTAAATGAGAAGTTTAATGAAATCATTACTCCGTAGAAAGAATTTAATGAGCAATACTCATAAACTTGTCTACTTTTAAATATTCCTGGATCATTATGAAAGCTGATGTATGCACACAGCTCAGTCTGGTTAAAAATCAATTTGTATTTAGGAAAGTTGTACTGTGCCTTTCTTTGCCTGCCTAAATGAAAATAAATAAATCTATCCATCGATGAGACGGTGTTTTCTGGGATTTCGGGCGAAGTTCAAAAGAGGTCTCATTAAGAATACTGTACTTTTATTTCTTTGGCAGAGGTACTTCTCGTTCTTAGTGGGCTGTGGGTAATATATGGTAACTTATATTGGTTTCAGAAGTGGGAAAGACTGGAAGTGAATATCATGTATTCAGTTAATGAAGTATAATCTCTGTTAAAGGAATTAGTATGATGCAGATACAAATTGTAATTAATTAAAGTGGTGGTGTTTCAGAATTCTTGTTACCAATCACACTTTAAAATCGAGCAAACTAAAAAGAAATAAATCTGTTGTGAAATGTGATGAACAAACCAGCAGAGTTTACAGAATGTTCTCTGTCAGCTTCCAGAGGAGTTCTTCAGAATTTGCTATTTAGAAACCATCATTAAATGCACAAAACCTGAAGTTCAAAAAGTTAAAGCTGTTATTCTGAAAAGGCTTTGGTGTTTCACACACCTCATCCATCACTCTAGGGTTAATTATAATGAAAATCAGTGGTGCCTATTAAGCACAATTGAACCTGACCTCATTATGGGCAGTGTGGTTTTGTACTGTCATTGTTGCCAGTCTAGAGACAAAACTCCTGTGTTGATTTGTCCTAACTCCGCAGCTCATGTGACTCACCTCTGACCTGTTGTTTTTTTTTTCTTTTTTTTTCTGTGTGTGTGTGTGTTTTTTTTTTTTTCCCTATTTCAGAGACGTAGAGGCTCGGGTGTTTTTTGTGCCAATTGCCTGACCACAAAGACCTCTCTCTGGCGAAAGAATGCAAATGGTGGATATGTATGCAATGCGTGTGGCCTCTACCAGAAGCTTCACTCGGTAGGAAGAACTTACTGGTCTGTTCAGAAAAAAAAGGGTTATACAGCTAAGCTGGGCAGCTGTGGTCTTGTCTAGTTGTGTGATTACTACTACTCCCTGGCCTGCAGTTAATTTCCTAACAGGGTTTTGCAGTATGGTCACTTTGGGATCAGATGTGATTCATTATGAAACAGGCTGAGATGCTGTGGGTAGATGTGTTTGAGATCACCAGTGATGCATTTAATTATTTTGATACAAAGTAAGGGGAAAATTATTTATTTTCTGAGAATTCCATTTAAAGGCATACAATATGTTGCGATGAAAGCTCTCTAAATTCAAGAACCCTCATGTTCATAGTAAAAAAAAAAGATTCTTAAAGTAGACATCGTATCTATATCAAAAATATCCCTTGCTGTCGTTTTTATTTTCTTTCACTTATCTTACCTCCTTTGTTCTTGACGGTAATTTTCCTAGAGATATGGGGTGGTGGGTTTTCTTGTTCTTTTTTTCTACAGTTCCTATAGTCTGCTGGAGGATTCTGAAATAACAAGGAAGCTACTCACTTGATGGCACTCATCACTTGCTGAGGGGAAGATTCACCATCCCTCAGGATCAGGGAATAAGTAATAATCATGGACTGTCTATACTGCTTTTCATCTTATTGACATTTGGCTTGATCCTGAAAGATGTTGAATGCTCTGGTCCAGGACCAGGAAAGCCATGCTTAAGTGTTTTCTTGGATCAGTGCCAAAGTGCTCAAAATCTTTTAGGTTAAGACCCACTAGTTAAATATTATCCCCACTGTCTTTAATAGAAGCACATGGGAGAGTCAGGTGACCAAGATTTGACTCTAATTAATTAATTTTTACAACATGCCCATGAAGTGTTACTATTTTTCAGAAATAGAAACTGAGGCAGACTTTGGGAGTTTGCCAAGGCAACATAACAATTTAGGCTTAGATCCCAGATCAGAAATCTGTGTTGTGACTGAGAGTGCATATTTTTAAAAACTTTTTTCAGAAATCCCACTTTCAAAATAAAAAAAAAAAGCTACTTATGAAACCATATTTCAAATGCTTTAAGACTCGCTATATGCCTATGCCTGTTTCTCTTTAAATTTGAGGCATAAGCTTCTAAATCAATTAGTAGTTTTGGTGAATTGGTCTTGTGTACAGGTCATATAACAATTCTATTTAATCAAGATCCTGTGCAGCCCACTTCATAAAAAGAGAAAGATTCCGATTTTTAGAAGCGACAAGACCATCACCAATCTGAAAGGCTATCTCTGTTTGCCATGCTGTCATTCTGAGGTCAGTAACTGTTTTTATGCTCCAGAACAGTCCAGTCAGATAACATCTGAGTAGGAGAAGATGGAGTAATGCACGATCTCCTGCCAGCACCTTGGCCGAGTTTTGCTGTCAGTATGATCTTCCTGGTGATCTCTCAAAGTTCTAGATATAATATCTAATTTAAGGAACTTGATCAGTGGTAAGCATCCACAAAGATTTCAAACAGAATTTGGCTTTTTAATGTTAATTTGACATTTGAGTCGAGTTATTTGTAGAACTTCTATTCACAGACCTCATTTTCTCTTTTTTTTGGTATACTTTTCTAAACTAAAGTGTTGGACCTTACCGTGATTATTAGCATAACTTATTGAATAGATAAAAGCTACAAGAATCCGTTTTGAATTCAAACACATAGCTCAGATAATTCTTATAAACCAGTAGGAACAAACTAGTGTGCTTCCAACAATAATAATTGGCAATACAATGTCAAACTTTATTTTATGCATATAGAAAGCAAGAAGCTGACACTATCTTTTAGCTCCACTGTTCAAGCCATGGCAGTAAGCTGTCATTCAGTGGATGTTTGATATTAATATCTTCAATTGAACTTTGACCAGACAAATGCAAAGAATTTAATTAAGCCTCTGCTCTGCTGTGGTGTGATAGCAACTCCATTGTAAGTTGGAGTCTGAAATAATCAAACAAATCTCTCAGACACCTTTTGAGACAGTCCCATGCAAAGACTGGCACCAGAAAGATGAAAGTTTCTTTTATCTGTCTGCCTGTCGGGCTAGCTATCTCTTTATGAAAAATTATGCTAAATATTTGTCATGTATGCTTTTGAATTAAGGCATCCAGGATGATGCAGTTATTAGGTAAAGGTCTGAAACTGTAAAAATTCAAGGGACTAGAACTACTGCCTTCTGTGGGCCACTCAGTTAAACCAAATTATGCTACACAGCTGAGTAAAATTCACCCACATTAGGTAGCTCCTTTTTTGATTGGATTATCACTATCTAGAATGATTGTCCTCATTACCTCAAGAATGTGTATAATACACTAATCTGTAAGGTCCCTTTTTTACTTGGATTTAATAAGAAGAAAAATCCATGGTCTGTCAGATACTACTACGTGGTAGTGACTGACAAATATTAACATGATAGAGATTGCTGCTAGGAGTCACATTTCCATTTCTCTGATACCCTTGAATAAATTTTCAACATATTTTAAAAAATGTTCAGTCTATCTAGGGGTCATTTACATGTAACTTGACAAGTTTTTCACATTTCTCTCCTCTAATGCAGTCAACTATGTTAAGAAATGTGTAATAATATTCCAACAGTCAATTATTAAAATAGTTTTAGTGGAAAAATGCTTCCAGTTCACTGCAAACATATATACAATATTCATGTTTGCCAACAGAAAAAGGTATATCCCTTTTCTCCCCAAAATAATGAATTTATATTATAGTGCTGTTCCTCGTTTTTAACAGCTCTAACTCAGTGATGGAAAACTAGATTTTGTTCCATAGTAATTCCTTGGCCACATCCTTGGACTACTTCAGTGAAGAGTTACAGCATGTTATTCTAGGATTAGACATACATGGTCTTCTAGTGGAGAGATCACCTCAATTTCCCATGGCATCTAGGAAGTGTATCACAATAACTTACTGAACTATATGTTGAATTTTGTAAATTTTTTTAAAGTTACTCATATATTTGGGGTAGGGAGGTTGCCAATTTATATAGAGATAGCAAAAAAATCTTTGAGATCACAGTCAATATATTACGTATAACGTATAATCAAGGATCTGACATAGGCCATTTTAAAAGTAAAGTCCTGGTAATGTTTCCACTATTTTCTAAATTTAGGGCCCCACTGAAAATCAAGAAGAGAGCTTAAACTTTTCTGTCTGCCTCAGTTGCAACCAAATACAGAATATTTCTGTCTGCACCTTGCTATTATGAGTAAGGAAAATGTGAGTAACTTTACTCCACTGAATAGTCTGTTTCAATCAGCTAAAGACTAGTCAGATGAGTACAGTCATTTGCATGCTGGGGAATTTTTAAGTTGGACCTACAGCGTTTAACTCCTAATGGCATGTAACATGGAAGAGCCTGAGCTGCTAACAAGTGTATGGGGGGTCCTTAATCACAGGTATGAAGATGTTTCTTTTAACTACTTCCAGGATCAGACTTCATACCAGTATCATGAAGAGTAAGACTAGAAGTATTTCCAAACTATTGAAGGGTTATCTGTAAGCCATATAAAAATGGTCTCATGTGTATAAATAAAAGTTTAATAAGAGCAACATCAACAGTATTGTAAGACCTCACACAGCATGTCACTATGGCAGTTCCAAATGTCATAAAAAGGTGAGGAAATTACGCTGAGCTTCTAATAAAGTGTATATGCTTATGCATATTAATTGTCTTGATTCTGCAAGCTATACACTTTATTTGCATAGAATTTATGTAGAAAATATTCTAATTTTATCTAAACATGATTTTGCTTCAACTTTTATCTGTTTGAAGATGCTGGTTCAAGGTGCTGGTTTTCTACTAAATTTAAATTTTGCTTATTAAAAATCTAAATCAAAGTGTATATTTCTTCTGGTTTAGAGTTTTAATAGAAAGTAAAATCTTACCAAGTAGCTGCACTGCCTAAAATGTAGTTAACCATTAAGAATGAGCTGACCTCAGGGAAATAAATATGTGAGAAGAGGACAGGAAGATGGCAAGTCAAGAGAGAAACCAAATCTCTACAAATAATAGAGTGAACGCTCGTCCGGCCCTGGATATTTTTATATTAATTCAAAGTTATGAGTATATATTTAAATTATGTTACATTCAAGGTACAAATTGTTTTGGATATTGACTGTAGGCCAAAATTTAATCTGCATTTTAAAACAATGTTAAAAAGAACATTTCCAGATAAACATAGAAGTGGAATACTGTGTGGGGCACTTTTCTGGCCTCCAACCAAAACATTTGGTGTGCATTTGGATGAGACAAAGGGCAACTGCCAGCACACCAAACTGAATGACTTTTAGGTAGTTTTTGTTGTTTTAACATCTGCCCAGTAGACAAACACATACCAACGCTACAGCACCATCTTTCATTCACATACCGTGACCTTCCTGTTGAGGGGTCTTTCAGAGAGGCCTGGCTGCTGTCCTTCCTCGTACTGTTTTTTTTTTCCTTCACGCAAAAACATTTTCACTTCTCATCTAAAGAGGCCACCTACCCTGAGCTGGTGTGGGGAAGCAGCAAATGGAAGCAGAAGTCCTCACTTGATTCTTGCCTCTTCCTCTTTTGTGATGCTGTTTTCTTCACAGACCCTTTTTTCCCACCTTTAGAGAACGCTTTCTCTCCCTCATGGCTTAGTAGCAGAACATCAGTAATATTTAGGAAGAAATACAGTGGGGATGAAGGAGGGGGAGCTGGTAATAAAGTCCCAGGTAGACTTTTTGGTGCATAGGGAAATTTTTCCTGGGCTTTCTCCTCCATCTTTCTTAGTCTCTTTCCAGCCACCATCATCCCACTCACCACCACAGTGGACCAGCAGCCCTTTTGCTGAGGGACAACAGTGGTGGTCAGCAAGCCATGCATTTGCTTGCATTTTCTATCCATGTCAAAGGGGGGGGGTTGGGTATCAAGGTAAGTGTTACCCAGTTCTTGTCATAGTGTGATCTCTGCAAACCCCTCTCTGATACCAGCTCTGGTGACATAGATCAATGCTGGTGCATAGGGTCATCCATCTCCCACCTCATCCCCAGCTCTCATCACCCTTTTTCAGCATGTCTCCCACAGAATTTTTCAGGAGTAAGGGGTAATAGAAGCTTTGACAGCTTGGCTACTTCATCCCTTTTTAAGTAAACAGGTATAGTACGTCTAAGGTAGTTAAGTTTGATAAAACAAACCAGTTCATAGTTTACTTTTAGCATGAGGGGCCAGGAACCATAAAGCTCCTATAGTATTGCTTTTCACGAAAGAAACGATACATTTGCATGAGCATGGTCTCTCAGGTTTGTTTAATGTGTCTTTCTGTTTTCCTTTTGTTCATTATGTGTGTGTTCCATGCAGACTCCCAGGCCTTTAAACATCATTAAGCAGAACAATGGTGAGCAGATCATTAGGAGACGAACAAGAAAGCGCCTTAACCCGGAGGCACTTCAGGCTGAGCAGCTAAACAAACAGCAGAGGGGTAGCAGTGAGGAACAAGTCAATGGAAGCCCCTTAGAGAGGAGGTCAGAGGATCATTTACCTGAAGGTCATCAGAGAGAAATTCAGCTTCCCAGCCTCAGTAAATATGAGGCCCCAGGTTCATTGACTAAAAGCCATTCTGCTCAGCAGCCAATATTGGTCAGCCAAACTCTGGATATTCACAAAAGGATGCAACCTTTGCACATTCAGATAAAAAGTCCTCAGGAAAGTACTGGAGACCCAGGAAACAGTTCATCGATATCAGAAGGGAAAGGAAGCTCAGAGAGAGGCAGCCCGATAGAGAAATACATGAGACCTGCGAAACACCCAAACTATTCACCACCTGGAAGCCCTATTGAAAAATACCAGTACCCACTTTTTGGACTTCCGTTTGTACACAATGACTTTCAGAGTGAAGCTGACTGGCTGAGATTCTGGAGTAAATATAAGCTGTCTGTTCCTGGGAATCCACACTACTTGAGTCATGTGCCTGGCCTACCAAATCCTTGCCAAAACTATGTGCCTTATCCCACCTTTAATCTGCCTCCTCATTTTTCAGCTGTCGGATCAGACAATGACATTCCTCTAGATTTGGCGATAAAGCATTCCAGACCTGGGCCAACTGCAAATGGTGCCTCCAAGGAAAAAAGTAAGGCACCGCCAAATGTAAAAAATGAAGGTCCCTTGAATGTAGTAAAAACAGAGAAAGTTGATAGAAGTACTCAAGATGAACTTTCAACCAAGTGTGTGCACTGTGGCATTGTCTTTCTGGATGAAGTGATGTATGCTTTGCATATGAGTTGCCATGGTGACAGTGGACCTTTCCAGTGCAGCATATGCCAGCATCTTTGCACGGACAAGTATGACTTCACAACTCACATCCAGAGGGGCCTACACAGGAACAATGCACAAGCTGAAAAGAATGGAAAACCTAAAGAGTAAACCTTAGCACTTAGCACAATTAAACAGAAATAGGTTTCCTTGATGGGAATTCAATAGCTTGTAATGTCTTGTGAAGACCTATAAAGCACTTCATATAGAGAGCATGCCTTATCCAATATTAAGTCCCTTGTTCTTTTTTTTTTTTCTCTTTTTCTTTATTTTTTTCCTTTTTTAATTTTTTTTTTTCCCTTTTAAATGAGTGGGTTACCAAGAAAAAAAGAACAGTTGGATGGTGGCCAGAAGGGGGAGAAGATAATTATATGGGACACGACCCACCAAAGCTAGCCAGAATGCAGTGAATCATGGCAAATAACCTTGAGAAAACTTTACCGGACAATTAATACCTTTGCTATTGTGTAAGAGACATAACTGGCAAGAGTGCAAAGATGTGTATATGTATATACTGCTGCAGGGGTATAGTGAACATATGCACATTGTATATAAGAACTAGACTTGTTAAATATACAGATGTTAAAAGATCATTTTCTTTTCTTTAATTTGGGCTAATTTATGCCCTACAACATGCCTTAGGATCACTTTGTCCTCAAAGCTTTGGCAGCAATTTCATCTAGATGTTTCTCAGATTCAGCTGATTTTTAGCTACCATTATCACTACATTCTTTCTGGCACACTTTAGTCTAGGAAAACCATTTTGTGCAAGTGGAGTCTCTAATACAGAAGCCACACTCTGGGTTTAATTTGCATAGAACAAGGTAACCTGCTGTATTTTAATTTAATATATTTTTAATATATTACATTTCTAAACCTTAAAAGTCTAAGGTTACTTCTCCACAGGCTTAACATTGCTATACATACCAGTCAATCCCTTCAGTAGAGTTGTACCAGCTTTTGCTAAGTAGCATTAAATGTCTTCATAGTACTTTTTAATACTTAAGGCTTTGTAAAAACTATCCATGAAGGGAAAGCTCCTCAGCATAACTGCTCAGGGAAATAGGGCTAAATAACTAAATATTAAATAATTGGTTAAAGGTGCTGTTAGACGAGCCTCCATGCTTGCTACAAGGGTGTACAAGAACTGACTTTAATCATTTTCACTATAGTGTCCCAACCAGTAGTTTATTATTTTGCCACAGGGATGTAGAAGATATTACAAGCTACTGGATGCACTGTCAGATTAACTTATTTCATTAAAGAAGTTGGGAGGACAAATAGAAAAAACCTTATTTTTCTAGTAAATATTAATGTATTACATTTCAAATAATGGTGCCTGACATATTGAATAATTATTTTCTACAGTGTACGTATGCAACAAAGATATTCCATCATGCATTAGAGTCAGTTCTGGCTCTGCCTCGCTGTTTACATTTGCAAATGTAGCAAACAAGGTAATGAAGCAACTATTTCTATTGCAGTAGGTATCTTTTTTTTCTGTGTGTGTGCATTAAAGTTGTAAACGATAACATGAAATGAATGAAATTTGTTGATATTAATGGTATGGAAAAACAAGAAGGAAATGAAAATATTTTTATGCCTACTTAGGAAAAAAAGGGTAGCACTATTCATTCCAAGTACTTTTGTATTCTTAAGCTCTTAACTCACATTGTTATGCTTAAAATGATAAACATATATCCTCTTTTTATTGCTTTGTGTTTCAGAAGAAACATTTCAGAAATTATTTTGATAAGTGCTGTTTGACGATGCAGCACTGATGTTTTATTGCATTCTGTAGTAGCATTGCACTCCATTTTTACAATATTACGCAGTTGCTTTTTTGTTTTGTTTGGGTTTGTTTCTTTTTCGCAGTGCAGGGTCTTAGTTCCTTATGGTTGGATGGCAGGTGTAGCTCAGCTGGTTCATGAATGTTGCAGCGAATGAAGTTTAAAATGTCTTTCTGATATTATGTTGTCTTTTATTTCTCCATTCATGCATTTTATTTTTTAAAATGTTCTATAAAAATATCTCTGGACTAAGTCCTCACTTGAGTTTATATGTAAAGGGTCCTATTCTGATCTCACTTACATGCCGCCTTTCTCAGAATTTCATGTAATTGAAACTAAAGCATCGTAAAAAAAAAAAAAAAAATTATTGTATTTAACTTACCTGAATCTCACCACTCTCCCTTCTAGAATTTGGTGCACTTATAAGATACTTAACCAGATAGACAGGGAGGTGGAAGAGAAAAGGAGATGTGACAGGAAATGTCTTATAGGGGTTAGCAAAAGGAAAAATCGGGGAGGAACTGGCCTAAACATTCAGCACTTTGATAGTCTTTTATAAAATGATGTGCCTAAAGCAGCCGGCAATGAACGTCACCATGCATGAGAAGCACTTACACAGCTGATCCCCAAAGGTCTTGCTGACCTTGGCAGTATTTTAGGTGTTACATTTTCACACAGATGAAACATTATTGCACAGTTCCTCTGACTTGTTAGGCACAGACAGGCTATTGTTCAGCATTAGGCTTGCATTCCTTCCTGCTCCACCCATTGCTTCTGTACTGGTGAGCACCATATGGAAAGTCCCACTCAATCTGTTCACAGTTGAGTTCCATAACCCTTCAATAGTGTTCTAGGTTAGCAAAGGATATTGGGCCACATTCTTCTTCTTCTATTTTTTAGATGAATCTCCTGCTTAATACCAGTGCCGGACAAAGTCTGGTTATGATTTTACTATTGTTCTCCAATAATGAGTTCTGACTTGGTTTTTGTGGATTTATTTTTGTTGGGTATTCTTTCTTTTCTTTTTTTTTTTTTTTTTTTTTCTGTGGGGACTGAAATAGATTGCCCTCGTTTTATTACATCAGGGTCCAGTGTGTGTCCTTTTCAGCTTTTCCAAGAAACATGTTAGACTCACTAAGCAGTGATTTTTATTGGCTTCAGAGGTAGCTGCCTGCCGGTTATCAGTAGTTACTGGTTTGACTTACTACTTGTAAGACCTACCAGTTCCTGTGGCTTCTTCATTGATGGAAGCTGCATCTTCCTGGCAAAATATTTTATGGGGGACATGTGCATTGTAAGACTTGAGCACCACCCTGTACTTCATAACACCTCTTCCTAAACTCAGCAGCAGAGGCCAATAACAGGAAATACACATATCAGGGTTTGGGGATGAGGAGAAAGGAAATCTAATGAGTGCAAAGAACAAGACGGATTTTCAAATATTAACATTGCACACCTAGATGGTGCAAATAAAATTTGAAAAATGTTCATTGATCTTGCCATGACGTATTGAGATGTTCTAAGATTTCTGCTTTCTAAGAAATGGGGTTTTGCCATAGCCTGTTCTCTTTGATCGGGGTGGGTGGAGCACAGTTTTGTTTCGTAACAGAGAGTTGACTCCATTCCTCTTCAAGACCCCCTCACAACAGATATTAATCAAAAGAAAAATAAATCCTGACATTGAAAAAGAATCTTATTTAATAGTTCTCAGGTAGAAACCAATGTTAGCACACACAAGTAGTTACTGCACCCACTGCATTTCGATCAACTTAGAGCACTAAAAATTAAACTTTCAAAGAATCATTCTTTGTTCCGAACTTATCAGTGTCTTCCAGGTGTTGTACTTCTCTTACTAAGGCATGGTAGTTTGAGATCTTAAAATGTGTCTCAAATGGGACCACAAAATAAGCAGAAGGTTCAAAACCAGAGGATTTGTGGTGCCTGTCGTTAATCAGATTGCAGAAGGAGAACAATGTTTCCATTAACACTCTGTATAGCAGGAACTCTCATGCAGCATCTTCTGCAAACCAGGCTGGCTCTAAGCTATCACTCCGTGGCTGCTGCCCCCTAGGTTCACGCAGCAGGAGATGAAGATTTGCCAGACCACAGTTTGCATTCAGGTGCTAAACTCAGAGTGCTTTCCAAGATAAGTTTTGCACCTAATTGCCACTGTGCTGATGAAACTCCCCCCTTAATTTTTCATGGACCGTCCAGAAAGGGAGGGAGAAACACTGAATACATGTATCTCGGTTTTGCCTAAAAAATGTACTATTGCACATTGTGACAGTTTTAAAGAGAGAGAACATAGATTCATCTCAAAAAGCTGAGGCACACTGGGGGTGAAGGATCATTTTTGCAGTAATAGGGGCAGCAAGAGAAAAGTGGCTGATGCTAATTGTGCATTGTGCTGAAATGTAGTGGTTGTACAATGGGTAGACCTGGTTTGGCAACCGTGGATTAGTACTCAGTTCAGGGATGGACTTTCAGGACTGTCTTTGGACTAGACAATGTTGCTTTGTAGTCATATCTACTTGCTTTATGTGCTAGGGATGTTGTCTACCATCTACTTTTTGCCCAGGATGTCCAAATATATTCCCATTATGTATTGATTTTTCTTGGCTGACTTAACATGCTAATTCCTACTACTGGTCAGAAAAAGCCAAAGAGATTAGAAGTTCACTTCTGTTCAGCCAGAAGGGTAGATATATTTCCTTCTGCTTCTGGGCACACAGTTGTGTTTGGCAAAGAAGAGCGAGCGACGTGTCAATGCATCTCAAATGTGATAGATAAGTGAGAAATCCCTTCTAAACTTTTCTATAAAGTTAAGATGGGACAAGTAGAATGATTTACCTATTTTTCTCACCCCAGAATAGGATTCCTCCCTGCCCTCATCATCTGGAAAGCTGGCAGTTGGTGAGATGCTATCTATATAGTAATCACATATACCCCAATTTACATATTTTTAAGAGGATAAAAGACAATAATATAATGGCTGCTAGCCAGATAAATACCAGTTTCCTTTGTTTTTTTGAGTATGCTTACTAAAGTAAAATTCTTAGAATAAACATTGTAACAGCAACCACAGTTTTCCATTCCTATTATTTTGGCCTCTGAGCTCTATGTAGAAGAAGAACAGGAGAAAAGGAAAAATCTCAAAATGGCGTTGTAAATTTAGCTTATAGAAAATTCACCAGCAGGAAAAGAAAAAAAAAAAAGAAAAAAAAAAAGAAAAAAGTACTTCATAAAGAATGACTTCATGTTGCTAAAAACCATCATTAAACTTGTAGCCCTGATTTGACTCTAGAATGTTGGCTCTTAATGTTTTGTCCTTACAACACATGGATGTGTTTTTGTTTTGTTTTGGGTTTTTTGTTTTGTTTTGTTTTGTTTTTTGGTTTTCATAGTGCATGTTCATTTCTACTCACAAACATGTTCTTGGTGTATTTCTTATGCAAACAATCTTCAGGCAGCAAAGATGTCTGTTACATCTAAACTTGAATAATAAAGTTTTACCACCAGTTATAAATCAGAT